ATGGGCTGGCCCATTTGGATATTTGTGTACGGATTCGGCCTACTTTGGTTCTGATGATGGGTTCGACCCATCAGTTTGGCCCATAGGATGAGTCCTTCAGCTCGGCCCTAGCCCAGTATTGTAGCTGGGCAGGCCTTTCCACTGCGAGTTGGGCCCAAGTGCTTGAGGACTTGGGTAGACTGTTAGTAATGGAACTGGGCTTAGTTGGGTTGTCTACATGCTTATCTAACCCATTTGGATTTGGGCTTGGGGGATTGGACCGGCCCAAGGCTTGGGTCCGACCCATTTCTTATTTAACCCCTTCAATACGATTTCATGGACATAGCATTTTCCAAAGTAACATATAATCCATAAAAAAAAATAGGGAGAATAACATATAGTGGGTATTTTGAAAAAAATAGTCAAATTAATGATAAATTTTACAAATTTTAATTATTAACTATATAAACTTTTTTTATGTGTTAACAATTATTTTTTGAAAATACAATTTATTTATATTTTTTCCATTTTTTTTTTAAATATTCATAAAATGAGATGTATACCCATGGCCGTGGCCATCTTTGAAAAAACATAACCATGCCACTTTAAAGCTGTATCTCATAAATTCGTGTATTCATAATTTTACTAGAAAAATAGTATAGGACTATTTTGGAAACATAACTTTTAATTTATTTTGGATTATATTACTTTTTTATTTTTATATATATTTTTAAAAATAAAAAAAAATTAAAAAATCAAATATAAAAAGTAGAGAGGTGATATAATATAAAAGTCAAAAAAATACTTTTAACCTCCTTGTTGAAAGAGGCCAAAAGTATTGCAAATAGAATAATGTTATATGTATCAATTAATGTACACACTAGCGTACTGATGATGTGACATCATTTATATAATTTTAAATATTTATAACTTGTATAATAAATATGATCAATAATAATAACACTAGTTGGTGTACTAGAGCACCACCAAATGATAAAATGACTTTTAGGGGTGAGTGATTTTTGGATAGACTTTTTTTTAATGCTTTCATATTCTTATCACAAGTTCAAAAAGAATGTTTTTTTTTTTTTTTTTTTTTTTTTTTTTTTTTTTTTTTTTTTTTTTTTTTTTTTTTTTTTTTTTTAAAAAAAAAAAAAAAAAAAAAAAAAAAAAAAAAAAAAAAAAAAAAAAAAAGTAGTGTTTGGTTTAATTTTTAAATTTATTTTTAAACTTATTTTTTTTTCTCTTTGTTATTATTTTTCACATTCCGCATATTATTTAATTAATTTTTCTCTCATACACATCTATTCAATTCAAAAAAAAAAATTTACAAATTATTCTAAAATTGTTTTTAAAATTCATAACCAAACAAATGTTTATTTTTTAAAACTCTTTTCAAATAGGGCAAATTATTGATAAATTACATTTAGAAGTGTTTTAACCCAGGAAATTCATGAAGAAATTTTTTAACTCATTTAGTCTCATATATGTATAGTTTTCTTCCATAAAGTTTTTTTTTCTTGATTTACACTATTTTCATGGACACTTATGCCCTTATATTTAATTTTGATACTCTTATAAATATTTTTTGAACGGTTAGCAATCTTATAATGTGAACATTCATATTTTTAAATTCACATTGGTAGGAATGTAAAATTGGCCCGTGAGCGGCCCGAAACCCGCCCGCAAGCCAGGGCGGGCCCGGCCCGTTGACAATGTGAATATTCACATTGACATGTTAACATTCACATTAATAGGAGTGTAAAATTGGCCTGCGTCCCGTGGCATCGCAAAACCCGCCCGCGGCCCATGGGCGGCCCGGGGCGGGCCCGGTCCGGCCCGTTGACAATGTGACTATTCACATTGACATGTTAACATTCACATTGATAAGAGTATAAAATTGGCCCGTGTCCCATGGAAGGCCAAAAGCCTACCCGCCGCCCTGGGCGGGCCCGGTCTGACCCGTTGACAATGTGAATATTCACATTGACATGTTAACATTCACATTGATGGGAGTGAAAAATTAGGTCGCGCCTCATGACTACCCGAAACCCGCCCACGACCCATGAGCGGCTTGGGGTGGGCCCGACCCGGCCTGTTGACAATGTGATTATTCACATTGACATGTTAACACTCACATTGATAAGAGTATAAAAGTGGCCAGCGGCCTAGGGCGGGCCCGACCCGGCCCGTTGATAATGTGAATATTCACATTGACATGTTAACATTCACATTGATAAGAGTATAAAATTGGCCAGTGGCCCAGGGCGAGCCCAACCCGGCCCGTTGACAATGTGAAATTAGCCCGCGCCTCGTGGCTGCCCGAAACCCGCCCACGTCCCATGGACGGCCTGGAGCGGGATCGGCCCGGCCTGTTAACAATGTGAATATTCACATTGACATGTTAACATTCACATTCATAAGAGTATAAAATTGGCCCGTGGCCCATGGGCTGCCAAAAGCCCGCCCGTCGCCCGGGGCGGGTCCAGCCTGGCCCGGCCCGTTGACAATGTGAATATTCACATTAGCATGTTAACATTCACATTGATAGGAGTGTAAAATTAGCCCGCGCCTCGTGGTTGCTCGAAACTCGCCACGGCCCATGGGCGGCCCGGGGTGGGCCCAACTCGGCTTGTTGACAATATGAATATTCACATTGACATGTTAACATTCATATTGATAAGAGTATAAAATTGGCCAGCGGCCCAGGGCGGGCCCGACCCGGCCCGTTGACAATGTGAATATTCACATTGATAAGAGTGTAAAATTGGCCCGCAGCCCGTGGGCGGCCCGAAGCCCGACCGCAGCCTGAGGCGGGCTTGGCCCAACCCGTGACAATGTGAATATTCACATTGACATATTAACATTAATATTGATAGGAGTGTAAAATTTACCTGCAGCCCGAGGTAAGCCCGACCCGGCCAGTTGATAATGTGAATATTCACATTGACATGTTAAAATGCACATTGATAGGAATGTAGAATTGGCCTGCGGCCCGTGGGCTGCCCGAAGCCCGCCCACGGCCCGGGGCAGGCTCGTTTCGATCCGGTCCCAAGCATGTCCGAGACCCTAGGTTAAGGCCTAGGTCATCACTTTGAAGCCCGGCCCGGCCCATCGGCCCGCTTAAGGCCCATTCAAGGCTCAGTCCAAGGCCCAGCCCGCTCGAGGCGCAATGTATTTTTTTGTGGAAAATAATAAAATTTTAGTAAAAAAAATTAAAAAGAATTAAAAAAAAATGGCCAGGCCCACCCAAGCCCGACCTAAGCTCGAGGCTAGGCCCAGGCCCACCGGTCCGACCCCAGGCTCAATCCATTGGCCTGTCCAAAGCCCGAATACCCTTGTGTCAGGGCTAGGGCCTGGGCCAAATTTTTTGGCCCGTGGGCCGGCCCGGGAAAGGCTCGTTTGGCCCAGGCTCGAGCCTAGTCCGAGACGCTAGGCTAGGGCCTGGGCCATCACTTTGAAGCCCGGCCCGGCCCAGCCCAGCCCATCGGCCCGGTTAAGGCCCATTCAAGGCCCGGCCCGCGCCGAGACCTAGTGTCTTTTTTTGTGAAAAATAATAAAATTTTGGTAGAAAAAATTAAAAAGAATTAAAAAAAAATGGTCAGGCCCTCCTCGGGCCGCCCACGGGCCGTGGGGGGGTTTCGAGCAGTCATGAGGCAGGGGTTAATTTTACACTCCTATCAATGTGAATGTTAACATGTCAATGTGAATATTCATATTGTCAACAGAGCAGGGCGGACCCGCCCTGGACTGCTGGCCAATTTCATACTTTTATCAATGTGAATGTTAACATGTCAATGTGAATATTCACATTGTTAACAGGCCGGGCTGGGCCCGCTCCAGGGCACCCACGGGCCGTGGGCGGGTTTCGAGCAGCTACGAGGCGCAGGCTAATTTTACACTTCTATCAATGTGAATGTTAATATGTCAATGTGAATATTCACATTGTGAACGGGTCGGGCCCGCCCCAGGCTGTGAGCGGGCTTTTGGCCGCCCATGGGCCACGGGCCAATTTTATACTCTTATCAATGTGAATATAAACATGTCAATGTGAATATTCACATTGTCAATGGACCAGACAGGACCGGACCGGGCCAGCCCCAGGCCACCCATGGATTGCGGGCGGGTTTTGCGCCGCTACGGGACGCGGGCTAATTTTACACTCTTATTAATGTGAATGTTAACATGTCAATGTGAATATTCACATTGTCAATGGGCCGGACCCGCTCAGGCCCGACTTAAATTTTTCTGGGCACCCACGAGAATTGACATGGGCCGGGCCCCTACACATTAACGATATGAACATTCACATTGACAGTGTGAACATTCACATTAGGGGTATTTTGGTAATTATGTCACCCATAGGGCTTATTGAAACATAAGAAAATAATGTGAACTAAATTAAACATAAGTAGATGAAAAATATATTTTTATTTTATTATCTCAAATAGAACGTAATTGAATAATCAAAAAAAATATAAATTGAATAGAATAAAACTCTTAAAAGGTGAATTTATTAAAAAAACAATAATGCTTGAGACCACTAAAAGTGGTGCTCTAAAAGCACCACTAGTGATGTGGCAGTAGACGGGACCCACTGCTTGTGTCTTGTGTTTTTTTTTTCTTTTAGTTAAAGTGCTTGCCAACTCATTAGTGGTGCTTTAGAGCACCACTTTTAGTGGGATGTATCAGTAAATTACAAATACATTTGAGTTTTATTTAAAATACGGATTACTTTTGTGATTTGAATAATTACAAATATCCCTTTATCAGAATTTTTTATTTAACATAATGAATTGAAAAAATAAAATTTCTAATTGCTCTTCTATATAATAATAAAATTACCTGAATTATTAATTGAAATAAATTTTGATATCATTAAATACTATTAATTGACTTGATGATTTATTGAAAAGGGGAATCATTTGTTATGAAATTAAAATTTTCGAGGAGCGAGATATAATTTCTAAAATTATAGCAAAAAAATCATATCTTAAACAAATCTCATGAGGTGTATTTGTAATTTGTCCAATGTAAAATTAAGAGACTATACTTACCAGATGGAAAGTGATCCAACAGCAATGACAGGATCTTCAAGGTGTCCAGTGAGGACAATGATACTCATAAAATACCAAATTTCCAAACAGATCATAACAGCTGAAGCCACAGATAGTTTCACAAAGGGCCAAAGTTCCTTGAGAGCTAGCCAAGACAGCCCCTTCCAACCATCTTTGCACCACCCCACGATATAAGCCACCTGAGCCAATGCCACCAACCATGCCGAGATGTCATACGCCGCCGCTGCACCGCCCGTGCCCCACCCTAACACTTCTATGAAGAGATATAACATCCCAATGTGTATGAAGAGTGCCACAAATCCAATCCACGCCAGAATCCCCACCTTTTTTTTTTATTGTTATCGGGAAAGGAATTATTTATTAACTCAAAAATCTCAAAATCCACAAAAATATATATATAAAACAAACCTTAAAAATGAACAATACCCTGTGGGTTAAAGAGTAAGAGTAAAGAGTTGTTTGGGATGATCTAAATAAGTGTATTTTTGACTTTTTATGAAATATGGGTTGGGTTTGGGTTAAGTTTAAAATGATGTGTTAGAGAGGTAATATGACTTAAATAAGATGATGTGATTTAAATAGAATAATGACTTTTAACTTTTTTCAAACATGTCAAACTAGCCCTAAAGATCCCATTTTTTACCGTATTTTCTATCCCTAATTACAATGGAAGTACAGCTCACACCATGTGATATGGGTACCACTCTTATTGTGAGTAAGCAGACTAAAATAGGGTGTCCATGGCAGGATTTCATTTTAAACGAGGCAAATTTACATGTGATTCATGTATTTTTGCTTTTTGTGTCAATTTGATCCATTTAGTTTTAGTTAAATCAATTTTGCCCTTTAGTTTTTCATATGTGTCAATTTGGTCGTTTTAATTTCAATTGTATCAATTTTGTCATTTAATTTTTTATATTGTATAATATTAGATAGAAATTAAAGGCAAAGTAGTATATTCAAAAGAGAATGAATCATTTTAAACTAGACATCAATCCCCTAACCACTTTGAGAAAGGTAAATGAACTATTTTGACCTTGATTTCAATTCAATATCTGATGGGATAATATCAATTGAACTAAATTGACATAATGTAACAAAATTTAAAGGTAAAATTAAACAACTGATAGCAATATTCATCAATATAATGAACAATACTATCCAATATTAACCGATACATGATTGCATCATCAATAACGATATATATCCTGCTAAAATTATTTAAAACCGAGCCAACCAAAGATCAAACACCGAAAAGAATAACAACCTTAACAACACTACCTTGCTCTGAGATTGCAAGAACTTTTGGGTGGGGAAGTTGATGGCAAGAGAGAACATCTGAGGGATGACTTGGATGGAGAAATCTCCAGCGAGTCTGGCAATGTCGTCGCGTTGGCCAAGGAGCTTGAGGATAGGGGTGGCATAGATGTAGAGAGGCATGATGAGGAAGCAGGCACCAGATAGGATGATCCATGAACGTTGCATGTAAACACCCAACATCTCTAGTTGCCCTGCTCCAAATGCTTGTCCACATAGTGTCTCAAGTGCACTTCCCATACCAAGCTGCAAATTCATGAAACATGCAAAGGATGTTAACTTTTAGTTCTATTCTAGATATCGAAAATGTTGTTCTTCCCAAATTTTCCTACCAAAATGATGTGTCAGTTGTCGTTTTTGGATTTTTTTGGTTGATTTCTATGCAATATTAGGATATTGGAGAAATTACAAAATAAAAAAAATTAGAGTACGAGTTTTATAACAAAATTTTCATCAATTTAAACTCTAAACTTTTGATTTAAAAACACGCGACCCATTATCATAAACAAAAAGTGAGAAACAAAGATGAAAAGAAACACTACCAAGAATCCAAAAGAGAAGTTAGCAAGAACAGACAAAGAAATAGCCACAGCAGAGAGCTGCACATCCCCAATATGCCCAACAAAGATATTAGTGAATGAATTAATCCCATAATTGCACAGAATATTAAAAGCAATTGGTCCTGCAATTGTCCACAACTTTGCTGACTCTAGGTAACAAATTGTCTTCACATCCTCAAAGTTATTCACTTTTGGGTAGTCTCCCCCTTCCCCCTGCACCAACACCACTGTCGGCGCGTGGTGGAGATCCGTGTCTCCAATAGCAGTTCCTCCACCACCACCAACACTGCCTCCACCACCACCGTTCATCAATGTAACCTCCATTTGCAATGCCAAAAGCTTGGTTGGTGTACTTTCTGCAGAGGATGAACTGTTAGTGCTCTCCCCTGCCTTCTCTTCGTCATTCTCTTTGTTACTCGCAATCTTTGCAAACTTTATTGATCAACCCAGATTTTTTTTTTCTTTTCTTTTTCTTTTTTTGCACAAGTTTTTGGATTTGGAATTGTTAATTTGAAGAAAAATTTTTAAGTATTGTTGTTGTTGTCTAAAATTGGGTCTTTTGGTAAGAGAGAGTACATATATGTGTTTTACCTGGTTTTGTTGAGAACTATGAAAATGGGTTTACTGACACATGGTGAGTTTGTAGACTACAGTTTTGTTGTTCTAACATTAGAAGATGAACAATACCCTGTGGGTTAAAGAGTAAGAGTAAAGAGTTGTTTGGGAGGATCTAAATAAGTGTACTTTTTGACTTTTTATGAAATATGGGTTGGGTTTGGGTTGGGTTTAAAATGATGTGTTAGAGAGGTAATATGACTTAAATAAGATGATGTGATTTAAATAGAATAATGACTTTTAACTTTTTTCAAACATGTCAAACTAGCCCTAAAGATCCCATTTTTTACCGTATTTTCTATCCCTAATTACAATGGAAGTACAGCTCACACCATGTGATATGGGTACCACTCTTATTGTGAGTAAGCAGAATAAAATAGGGTGTCCATGGCAGGATTTCATTTTAAACGAGGCAAATTTACATGTGATTCATGTATTTTTGCTTTTTGTGTCAATTTGATCCATTTAGTTTTAGTTAAATCAATTTTGCCCTTTAGTTTTTCATATGTGTCAATTTGGTCGTTTTAATTTCAATTGTATCAATTTTGTCATTTAATTTTTTATATTGTATAATATTAGATAGAAATTAAAGGCAAAGTAGTATATTCAAAAGAGAATGAATCATTTTAAACTAGACATCAATCCCCTAACCACTTTGAGAAAGGTAAATGAACTATTTTGACCTTGATTTCAATTCAATATCTGATGGGATAATATCAATTGAACTAAATTGACATAATGTAACAAAATTTAAAGGTAAAATTAAACAACTGATAGCAATATTCATCAATATAATGAACAATACTATCCAATATTAACCGATACATGATTGCATCATCAATAACGATATATATCCTGCTAAAATTATTTAAAACCGAGCCAACCAAAGATCAAACACCGAAAAGAATAACAACCTTAACAACACTACCTTGCTCTGAGATTGCAAGAACTTTTGGGTGTTATTTTTTTTTAAACTTGCTCACACAACCCCACGTGAAAGTGGGGGCATTGGGGTCACTCCACTGGGTCCCCAGCCGTGCCCGTTTGGGAAGCATTGTTTGAGAGAGACGAGAGAAATAGAATTCGAATTCGAATCCTCCGTCGCACTCTCCTGCAGTTCTTTTCTGTCGTCCTTCAAAATGACGTCGTTTTGAAGGGTTTTTTTTTTTTTTTTTCTCTTCTTTCTTTCTTCCTTTCTCTCTCTGTTTCTGTTGATGGGTTTCGATTGTTGAGGCCGTTTCTTCTTCACAACACAGAGAGAGGCACCAACACATCACATGCCCAACAACACCACAACTCACCACTCTCTCTCTCTCTCTCTTCACAAAACCCATTTTCTAGGTCTCTTTCAATTCTATTTAAATTCTTTCATTTCTTGATTCTTTTTATTTTTTGGGGATTTTTGTCATCTCTGTTTTTGAAGTTTATTGTGAAGTTTGTGATTTGTCTGAACAAGAATTATACCACATAACCCATCAAGCGATGGAGGATCTTCTCATTTTTTTTTTTTTTTTGTGATCGATTTCTGGTTCCAGAACTTTCGGCGATTTCAGGTGCTGTGTTCAATCTTCTTGTTCATCTTCGGAGCTTCAGAAAACCCAAGAAATCAAACCCATGAGAATTCAAACCCAGATCACCTCTCTCTCTCTTAGAGGCTAGGGTTCAAAACGAAAAGGGGGAAAGCAAAACAAGAATGGGTCAAAAAAAAATTTATTGCTTTGGAGGGCGGCAAAAAGCACATAAGATGAAATTATTTTTGTTTTGATTATTCTGGATTTGCCAAAAGCACATCAGATGAAATTATTTTTGTTTTCATCTTTTTCTGCTCTTTCATCATCAATTTCAAACCCAGAAATTATTCTGCTCTTTTCTTTCTTTCTCTTTTTTAGTTATTGTTGTTGATGATGGTGATGAAATTATTTTGGGTTTGAAATTATTCTGGGTTTGATGATGATGATGATGATGAAATTTGATTTTAGTTCTTGGGTTTGAAATTTTGGGTGGGTAAAAAAATAGATGAAGCAGAGAAATTATTCTAGGTTTGAAATTAATCTGGGTTTGATGATGATGATGAAATTTGATTTTAGTTCTTGGGTTTGTGGGTAAAAACAAGATGAAGAAGAGAGGCGGATCTGGAGACCCAGAAACCAAAGGGGAAAATCAAAATAAGAAAGAAAAAGAAGAAGGGTCGATAATTGTTGCTCCTCTCTCCGATTCAATTTGCAATCTAAAATGAGGAGAAAGAGAGAGTTATCAGTGAGAGAGAGAGAGACATAGCAGTGTTGGAAAGAAACAAAGAAAGAAAGAAGAAGAAGAAGAAGAAGAAGAAGAAGAAAAAAAAGAAAAAAAAACCCTCCAAAACGACGTCGTTTTGGAGGGCGACAGGAAAGAGCTACAGAGGAATTCGACGGAGGATCCGGATTCGAGAGGAATATGACAAATTTGTGATGGGACTTTTGAGTTAATTTGTTAGTCAAAATTTCAAAGAATAAAATTGTCATTTTACCCTCTGTCCTGCATAGCCCTCAACCCACGTGCCTCATTGAATGATCCTAAAATCTGATCATTAGCGACAATAGCCCTGTTTGGTAGAGCTTATTTCAGCTTTTAGTTTAATTTAAATTATTTTAATGTGTTTAGTTCAGCTTAACAATACAGCTTATAGCTTTTTATAAGTCAAAAATCAACTTATTCCTTGAGTTTGGGAGGAGAAGCTTAATTTATAAGTCAAAAATCAGCTTATGTTCATAGCTATAAGCTATAAGTTGTTAAGCTATAAGTTATAATCACTTTCCCATAGCTCTACCAAACGGACCAATGTTCGGTTCTTCCTTAATTGACGAGGTGACCAATTAGCCTATTATTGACGAGTCAATTTTAATAAGAAAAATATTTGGAACTCTTTTTGATTTAACAATTTTTTTTAATCTTAAGTATTGATATATATATATATATATATGAGATCCACTCATGTATATATAGAGCTCACATTAACAATAATTGAGATCTTAAAAAAAAAGAGTTACAAGGGCTCAAAAAAAAGTTCCAACCATTGTTGTTTTAATAAATCACTAATGCACATAAAATAATAATAAAAATCAAATGGTCTACACTTTTAGTCTCCGTCTGACAAGTGTATTGAATTTAGATTGGGGCTAAAATATATATATATATATATATATAAACTAAATAAGTTAATAAAATAAAATATCACATTTAAATCATAATTATTATATTTATTTTTTAAAAAAAATAAAAAAAAGTCCAAAAAATTGTTCTTAAATAGAGGTAAATTAGTCAAAAAAATTTAAAAAGCAGATTAAAAAAATCCTTCCCAAACCAACCCTAAGTTGGTCCACTTTGGATTGTTTTGAAAAAATGACTAGAAGTTGACTTTTTTTTAGTTTTTTTTGGGATTTTTTAAAAAATATGTGTAAAAAATAGAATGATGATATGACTATTTGGCTATTTGGGAAGAGCTTTTCTAGGCTTTTTTGGTTATTTTAGTCACAAAAGACAAAATAGGCTATTTTAGCTACAAAAAACAAAATATCGCATCAAACCCATAATCATTACACTATTCTCTCACAAAAAAAGTCAAAAAAGTCAAAAAATCATTCCCAAACCAAACTTTTTAGCACAGGTTAAAATAGCCAAAAAAGTCAAAAAATCAACTCACTTTCCAAACGGAGGCTAAAAGCTAAAAAATGACTTTTAATTATCTTTTCAAAATACCTTTTTATGTGTTACTCTGCTTGGATTCAAGGCTTGCATAATACGATTTCGTTTTTTATTGTCGGTTTTAGGAACTGAAAATAAAAAATTAAATAATTTTTTATTATTTTTATTTTTTGTGATTTTTATTTTATTTTGGATAAATCATAAATACATATTTTAAAATTTACTTAAAATACGAATTGTCTCAAGTGATTTTAGAAAATAAAAATACCCCTTATTATTTAACAAAATTAGTAGAAAAAATAGAATTCTTAACAACTTTTTTATACAATAATAAAATTATTTAAATTGTTAATTGAAATATATTTATAACATCATTTAAAATTGTTAATTAACTTGAGAATTTATTAACAAAAATGATTACTTATATAATTAAAAACTTAAAGGAATGAGATGTAATTTCCAAAACGACAAAGAACAATTTGAATAAATATAAACTTTAGGGGGTGGTAGTGTAATTTACTCAATTTATAAATATGGTAGATTTTACAAATACACATAATTTTATGGTATAAGTACACATAAAATGTAAAATAAATTTGATAATATATAGCATTTCTTGAAAAAGAGCAGTCCTATTCTCACTCCAACTGTGTAACATCTATTTGAATGCCAAGACTAACAACATTAGAAGGAATGCAACATGAATTGAATGAAAACTAGAACCATCCCAAAAATTACAATTAACAGAGACAAAAATAAAGATTATTACTACTTTTTTCTTTTTTTTCTTCTGTGTCTTAAAAGTGATGTCAAAGAGTGAAGGATAAAAACCAAACTTACAGAGGATAAGCAAGACTAATCAGAGGCCTGAAAATCACACACAAAGAATCCTTGTCAGAAGAAAAACAAAAAACAAAAAAAAAGCTCCAAAAAAGTGATTACTGTTTGGTAATTTATTTTTAATCGCTAAAAATCAGTGATTAAATTATTAGAATAGCATTTTGAAATAGTTTTAACCCCCAACCCAACCTCCTCTTATTGCAAGCAAAGCAACCATGTCTTGTTCGTACTGATAAGCCACAAGGCCTTGGGTTAGTGTTTCATACTTATGAGAATGCACACAACCCAACACAAAAAGTGGAGAGATTTGATCATACAAACACAGACATATATCATAGAATTAGAGAAAAAAAAAATACTAGTCTAGTAGATGAGGCGGCTTGATGCCTGACTTGAGTCTCACCATTGCAGTTTCTCATTCCCCTATTCTCCATCCCAATT